GGGTGGGGCGGGGGCGCACCTGTGCAGGGGTGGCACGCTATCCTGGGTGCGCAGGCTGCCGCGCGTGGACACCACGTTGAAGCTGTCGGTACAGTCACACTGCACGTGCAGGTAGGCCTTGGGGTGCCGATTCTCCACCACCACAATGAGCCCTGCCCAGCCATGTGTCAGGTAGTAGCAGGTCATGCCCTCACGGCCCTGGGCACAGGCACAGCAGTTGTGGGGCAGGGCAGGGGCTGGGGCAGACTCCCCCTGCCCCACGCCACCTTTCCCTAGGACCCCCCACCCACCTCGTGCCGCTCTCCGCGGCTCTCGGTGAGCAGGATGATGGCGTCAGCCAGCGTGGTGGGCTGAGCTTCCACAGGCTCCACCATGACCAGCCTGGAGCTGTACACAGCCAGCACGTGGCCCGGCGGCTCTGGGGAGGCTCTTGGGACCCCTGCCGAGGGGCTGGAGGCTACAAGGAGGGGCGTGTGAGCCGCAGCCCTCCCTGCGGGCCTGGGGCATGAGCCTGGGGTAGGGGGCACGTACCCTGGGGGGCAGGGGCGCCCGGTGGGGGCGGCCCCCAGTGGTTGAAGGCGCAGCACACCACAGCGTACTCTCCAGGCTCCAGCATGACGTCGCAGCTGACAAACTTCTTGACCGCGCGCTTACTGTGGGCCAGGAGGCGGCCCAGGCTGAGGTGGCCACCGCTGCCGAACGTGGCCCGGAACACCAGGATGCACAGGTCCAGCAGGTGGCTGTCCACTGCGTCCGAGCGCCTGCGTCAGACACCGCGGGCTGGGGTCACGCGTGGCCGTGGCCGCCAGCCCAGCCCAGCCCAGTGCGGCCCCACAGCACACACCTGCTGCCCTCCTGGAAGAGTGCGAACTCCAGCGAGGCCCGCTCCAGCACCGTGAGCGCTGTCACCCCCACGGGCGCGCTGGCCGAGCTGGGAAAGCAGCCCTGCACCCGCGCCTCCTGCCAATCCGAGTGCACCTTACAGATGTCCACAGAGTCGAAGTACCTGGGGGCAGCGGGAGGACGGGGCCCTGAGCCCACCGCAGCCCACACCGCCGTGGCTCCGCTCCTGGCGCAACCACAGGCCGGTGACCCCAGCAGGTGCCAGCTGCTCTGTCACCGTCCTCTTGCAGCCCGGTCCCTGGGGGCCCATCCCTGAGGCCTACACTAGAAGCCGTCCAGGGGTGGCTCTTCAGGGCTCTGGGCTCTGCTGACCTGGGTGGACCTGGATTCTGAGGTCGGCACCCTGGAGCTGTAGCCCCAGCTCCCATTTGCGTTGGGCCACAGACGAGCCGTCCCCACCCCAGGTCAGCAGGAGGGTCAGGCTTGTTCTGCAGAGAAGGACCGGGCCCTGGAGGGCGGCGGCAGCGCGCACACTGCCCCGTGGCGCTGATACCTGACAAAGTCGCCATACTCCATCCAGAAGACGCCCTCACTGCTGCCGTGTGGCATGAGCTCGCCACGCAGGTGCCCCGGCCAGTGCGGCCACTCGTCAGACCAGCTGCCATTCCAGGAGAAACGGCCCCATGGGTTTCGGAGCCGCAGAAGCCTGCAGACCACAGGGGTGAGGATCAGAACAGCACCGCCCGTGGCTCACCGGCACCCTGCCCACCGTCAGCCAGCCCGGCCCTACCTGGTGCCCTGGACATCTCGAACATCCAGGACGGAGTAGGCATGGCGGGGGCGCAGGCCCAGGCTCTCGTAGGCCGAATCGTCCACCTTCATGTTGCCCCCGCCACAGGAGGCACCCATGAGGAACCTGCGTGGCAGAGCGGCCCTCACTGACCAGGGGCCTCACCGACCGGGACCCTCACCGACCAGGACCCTCACCGACCGGG